CTCTTTGAATTCTCACAGCCGTAGAGTAGCGTCGGTGGCCTTGTGGTTAGGCCACCGGACTCATAATAATGATATTGTGGGTTCGGTGGTTCAAGGCTCAGCTCGGTATAACGTTGTGTCCTTGGGAAAGGCACTTTACACGAATTTCCCATTTGGCCCGGTTCTTTCGGAGATGGACGTTTATCTCGGAGGTCCTGCCTCTTAAATAACCTAATACACGTAGTGTTGATAGGGGCGTTAAACCTATACCATTCCACCATTTTCAATCTCTGCTCCTTCTTTTTTATGTTTCTTACTCTCTTATAACACATCTAATCTTCGGCATTTATATAATACTGATCTTATTGTGTTGCAAGAGCCGTACAACTCTTTCTAAAAGAAACCGGAGTGAGGCCAACAAACAATTAATTATTAGACCCAGTGGTTTACGACGGCTGTGGAGGTCCAGGACCAGACCCGGGGTTAGATTACTGCGTGTGTGGGCCTGCTTTCCGACCCACAGGTCTACACTCAATAATATGTGTCACAACGTGGTGGAATCAGGCGCTCGTCAATTTGTGGCCATATGGGGTTATTGGTATCACCTCAAAACCTGTTCATTTGCCTTCCTATTGGTGAAAAAAATCCATATATGTTGAATAGAAGTCGAAATATTTGCGATTTAAAGAGGTTAAGGTCTCATGGCTTGTCAAGGGTAAAATTAACGAAAAAATGGTGGCCAAAGTTTGGTAACTTCCAAAGACTAAGAGTTCCCGGAACTGAAAATTCACATATTTTTCTGTGCCTCTAATCAATATTTTTCAGTAAAATCAACACAAAAACGTGTTTTTAAATCGACATAAAAGGTGTTAGGCTGAAAAAAAAATTACCCATCGGCCAAAAGTAAATGCTGATTTCTTTGATTTCATAATTTTGACGAGCGCCTGATTTCGTCATGATGCCTCACAAGCAGGATTGCCTCTTATCGCATAGTGACCATGCAAAATACCGCCGGGAAGCTGCTGGAGAAAGTCGTGGCACGCAGATTGGCAATAGAGCTGGAGGAAAAGAACGTTCTACCGCCGGAACTGGGCAGCTATAGAAGAGGAAAGATCACTTGGATGAATGCTGCTACTTTTGCATCCGACGTATATAATGGCTTCAAAAGAGGGGAAGAAACTCTGGTAGCAGTACTTGACCTGGAAGATGCCTACAACAGAGTTAATTTCGACACCCTCATGAGGACTCAAGTCAACCTGAGGGCAGGTCCACATTTGGTACAATGGATTGGGGCAGCGCTGCTCAAACGAAAGGTAGCACTACATCTTGGTTGCTGGGCTTCGCAACCTACTGAGAACACGTACGATCACACTAGGCTTACCACAGGGACCTGCACTCTCGCCGGTACTGTTCAGCGTCTATACAATAGGGATAACATCCAACCAACTGGATGGGCCCGGACGTGTATTCAGTTTCGATGATGATGTGCTGGTGTACAGGCGAGGCAAAAATCGCCTGGTTACAGCGAAGAGAGTACAGGAAGAACTCGACAGACTCGAACAGTGGTGTGAAGCAAACAACGGGAAACTGCACTCAGACAAAGCCTGCCCACTGTGGTGTACACTGAATATCCATGCAGTGCACGACGACATATTAAGTATCTCGATTGGAGGCAAAGTGCTGAAGAAGGAAAACACACTGAAATACTTGGGCATCACGTTTGATCGCACCCTCTCTGGCAAAGATCACACCACGAGAACAATCTCCAGAGCGAATCCAAAGCTAAGATGAGCCAGAAAATCCTTGTCATCCTCTACCAGACACTGGTACTCTCTGTCGAAGAGTACAGGCTCGGACTCTAGACCCTATCATAGGCGCAACTGCAGCGACTCGAAGTGTTACGAAATGAAGGAATGAGGGCAATCCTGGGGTGCACACGAGACACCTCAGCTGAAGCAATGAGATACTTCCTAGACTTTCCTTGTGCAGACGAGAGGAACAGCCTGGCACAAGTGCATGCCTTTTTACTAGTCAGCGCAGACGAGACGAACCCCCTACATAAGAAAGTGGGACGGCGGATGACGTCAAGGCTAAAGAGGGGCACAGAATGGATGACTCAAGCCACGAACACCATCAGCGAGTGCTGCCAGATACAAGACATCATGAGAGACAGGGATTGGGTTGTGGTCGAAGATGGGCTCGGACAGTACACAACAATGAAGGCAAAATTGGGTAGAGAATGTCTCAACTGACCACTTGGAGCTACAAACGCTGAAATTGAGACCCTGATAGAAGAGCATAGCGAACATGGAGATGCTGTGATCTTCACGGATGGATCAGTCAACAGAGGAGTCAAATCGGGCTGGGCCTCCAGTGTCAGAGTTGTTGGGGTAGTTGTGAAAGAGAAAAGTGGAGCAACTGTACTGACAACATCCAGTGTATGGAGATTAAAGTCATAAGTGAGGCTCTTCACTGGATCAAGAGCACAAACCATCAGCGAGCAGTAATTATTACTGACTCTATGAGCACACTGCAGAAGGTACAGAAAGGGATGCTGTATGCGGACTAGAAGGCTACAATGAGGGAGAGCAGCTTGGAAAGAGTGGCCTGGATCTTCTGCCTGGGCCACGCAGGGGTGACCAGCAACGAGAGAGCAGACACGCTGTCTGGAAAAGCAAAAGTGGGAGGGAATTTGCCACTGGACCCACCAACCGTCCTAACCGCTGTAGGAGAAATTTGAGGAAGAATTGGGCGGATGGCGGTTCCCACACCGTATGTAGATTGAAGGAGAAGGGGGTCCTTAGAGGAGAAGGGAAACACATCCACCTGTTCGGACCAGTCCGACGGATCTCCAACCTGATTATAATGGAGACTGTAATCAGACAGACTCTGGGATGGATCCTGAAGAGGGCGGGGGGGAGAGATGGGCATGTTCCGACTGTAGTGACC